TTCGTTTTAAACTGTTTTATTTTCATGTGCTAAAAGCCCGTCTAGGGATTGGCTTTGCTAATTAGCCTTGGCTATAAACGTTTTATTGTAAGTTGAAGAAACTATTGGGGTTTAGGTTATATACTGATTTTAATTAAACTACACATGGTATAGCTTTATTATAGAATTGTAAAGATTGTTAAATGTGACAGTTTTGCTTAACTTGATGATTTTTATATTAATGATACCCAAAAACAAATTCAACACAGAACTTTTAAATCCTCATTAGGGTAGGTTTTTTTATGGGGCATGGCTTCGACAAAGTGTAGGGACTCCCCTTGCTGATGACGTAATCAAATAGGCGGAGCCATGCCTCTGAACTTTTGTTAAAACCAAATGCACTTCTTTGTTTTCGGTCTGAACGCTTGGTTACCGATTAAACCAGTCTTGGGCAGAGAGCGCTCTTTGGTTTTGTATGGTTTCTCTTTAATAATCTTTTCCATGCATTTGTACATTCTCCGTATGTTTTAAGCACACATCCTGGTAATTGAACATGCATAACAATATTTTCTTTTAACGGCATTACTAATACTTGACGCAATATATGAAATGAAATCTTTATCATAACAGTTGCAGCCTATGTGGAGTCTGATATTGGTGTTCGACATTCTAAATGAGGTTATCTTCCGTCACTGTGAAAATAACCGCTCAAGTTGTTCCTGATCATCCTGGGTAGGCTCAGATCTTTTTTTCTTCAATTATTCTGGGCTACCAAATTTTATTTTTGTGAAACAGYCGTCATGTGGGAGTAAATGTTAGCTTAGTGTTTAATTTTGTGGTAGCCAAGAACTCCTGACGCTGAGAACCATAATCTGACCCTTCACGTTTGTCTGCACTTTGGTACGGGGAGGGGAGCACGAGACAGAATAAACAGGTAGGACTTTAAGAAGTTATAAGGTAATCCAAGCAGAACTCAGAGTGTAAGCAGGCATCTTTAATGCTGTGACTCGTGGTAAGCCTCAGTGTGTGTGGTTCACCAACAGATTTCGGCAAAAGTCATTCAAACAAAAGCTGCAACTAATATTTATTTCAGTGAAAGTTGTTTAATCTTGTAAAACTTGAATTAAAACCTCACCTCCTTATCACTCACAAATGTTTCAAAATGTGCTACAAATCCTTCGTGAAAGCAGAGGTGTCAAAAGTATTCATTACTTAAGTAGACGTTTAGATACTAGGATTTAAAAATACTTTTTTGGAAGTAGAAGTATCAACTCAAGCTTTTTACTCAAGTATAAAAGTACTGGTTTTAAAACTACTTAAAATATAAAAGTTAAAGTAACGAACACTTAAAAAATCCATTTAGGATAAAAGCTTAGGTTGTGCCACAGGGTTCTACAGCACAGTGGTTCCCAACGTTGGGTTTGGGACCCACAGTGGGGTCCTGAAAATATTTTTTGAATTAATTGAACAAAAAAATGACAACTACATTTTTTCCTATGTTTTTACAAAATAATAAGATTAGTGTACTTAAAATGGACAAAAATAGCCTAATGGGCTCGACACACGGGAGGCGACGTCGCTCGCTCTCCATTCATTTCCTATGGAGCCTGTGCGGTGAGGCGACAATCGCTTGCCCTCCTCCAGCTAAGCGACCGGCGAAAATAGTGCATGTGAAATTTTGCGCTCGTACACGTAGACGTGCACACGCGAGCTTGCGACGCGACATATGAAAGTTGAAAAATGTTCAACTTTTGTCGCTGTCGCTTAGCGTACAACCAATTAGTGAGGGTTTCATTGCCTGACCAATGAGAGGAGAGTATGCTACACACTGCAGTTAGCTAACACTTTCACCAAGGGATTACTAAAAAGCTTTGTGGGAATTTATTGGCACCAGGGTGAAGTTTATGGTAAGTTTTTCTTCATAAAATTGCATCTTGATGTGTGTTTGTTTTTCAATATCATTAGCATCGCAAGATTTCTTTGTTTACACGTCCGTAATGCACACTCGCCTTCAGAGTCAAGAACCAATCAAATTTTGTGAAGACAAGCGACCAGAGAGCACGATTCGCAACGCTGCGATCGCTATCGCGTCCCGTGTGTGTGTCGGGTTTCACCCTGGCTGCGATGACAGCCGTTAATCATTGTCGTTTGTCGCTGCCCGTGTGTCGAGCCCTTAATAAATAAATAGATTTCTATTTTTTTATTTTTTCTAAACTATGAAAAGATGGCATAAAAACAAGTCAAAGTTAAACAGAAATGAAATAATTTTCAATTTTTATAAAGTAAGGAGTAGAAAGTACAGATAATTGAATTAAAATGTTAGGAGTAGAAGTAAAAAACAGGCTGAAAATTAATTACTCCACTAAAGTATAAATAACCAAAATTTCTACTTAAGTAAAGTATTTTTACTTAGTTACTTGACACCTCTGCGTGAAAGTAAGCTCATCTCTGTTACTGCTACAACAGCAGGTAAACGACACAAAGTCAGATTTAACAATCAGCCTCTGTTGGCAGAGAAGAGGTATAAAAACACCAAGATTTAAAAACGATAAAAGTTTGAAAGAGCTGTATATTGTTAGGCTTATACAGGCCACGCCTTGGTTTCAGAACTCACATACCATCTGAAATTTAAAACAGCTACACATCTGTAATGCCTACACTCACACTTATCACCTCCATGAACGAATTAAAATTAAAAAAAACACTCGGGACAAGATGTGAGCTGTTTTACTGTGGCACAGCTACCCTATAAGGTCATTTTTTTTACATTATTTTTAAGGTTGCTTGGGTAACCTGAAACTTTGTCGGAAAAGCCTTGTGGTTTGGAGTTCAGTGCTGTAAATTACCAACTCCATGGGCAGAGTGGAATTCCTGGCTTGGAGTTTGCCAGCGGCGAGTGAGCGAGGGGAGCTGGCACACGGGCTGCACTTTCTTAGGTTTTTGATTTTATTTTGCACTTTTACTGACAGCTGAAGCAGAGATGGCATCAACGTCTATTTGGCAGGACAACCGGATGATTTCAAAGCATAAAAAAGAGCTATACTTTTAAAAGAAACACCACAATGCGATTAACACTTCTAATGGTTCTGTGCCCACACTAGTTGCAGTTTAACCAAAATTTGCAGACATGGTACTTGCCTCAACGTTTGTTAAAAGGAGACATATCCTGCTTTTAAATGCTTATTTTTCACATTTAAATCATTCATTTTGGGTATATAAAAGGTGGAACTGCAATGCTTTGGTCTGAACTCCTCCTTATTGTAACTCCACAAGCCCCTCTTTCACCCCTTTCTCTGAGGTGTGCCTCAGATCAACTCGTTTTGAGGCTGTCTCTTTAAATCCAGACGAGGCGCTTCACACCCCGCCCTCCTCCAGCTTCCATACCAGTCCATTATAGTTTGATAGAGGGGTTTACCACTATATAGCTGCGCAGAAACTACTTATTTT